AAAAATAATTTTTATTATTTTTTAACATTGTTGGGGTTAAATTGCTTTTTAATTATAGGAAGATTTCTTTTATTATCTCATTGGCGCCCACTTGAAATCTGGAATTGTTGCGATCTGTTGCAAAGTTTAAAAGTTCAATAAAAGGCATACACTTGAAAATAATCGTATTATACTTATTGAAAAAAAAAGATTTAATTTGTCTATATTTCTGGGAAAGTGAAAGGGATAATTGAAAGGAATACTTGCTATTGTAACATCAGCCAGAAACATTTTTTAGACTTTTTAATTTATCTGCAAAGATTCGAATAAAATTAACATAACATACATCAATAATTAGCTTTTAAATGTTATATAGTAACAAAATAACAAGTGGAGAAACAAAATACAATATCTGAAAATTATTAGAAACATGGAAATCATTCTAAGTCATTAGAAACATGTAGACAAAAGAGATCGAAGTGAAATTTCTATATTAAGCGAAAATAAGTATAATTTTAGTAAAACAATTATATAAATATTATTATAAGTACTCTATTTCTAGTATTTTATGCACTTTTGTACCATCGTATTCTTCCTCTACAGTTTTGAATCTTTAAATTATTTATAAATACAATATAATTATTTATAAATATAATATTATTTCTAAAAATTCACATCTAATTAGTAATTATTAATTATTTTTTCTACTATTTTTGTAAAGAAGACATAGGTACATACTAAAATTTAATATTAATTTTGTTGAATATGGATACATTTATCATTTAATTTATCAATATAAGTATAGTTATTTGGTACATATATGTTATAATTTGAGATATTGTTCCTTATCAATTCTATTTTTATTGTTGATTGAATATTTTTGGATTGTTGGGAAATACTTTTCTTATTGAGTATTGATAGTAATAAATAACAACTTTTTTCTACTGATTATTAATAGTAATGAATAGTGTTATTTTTTATTTATTGATAGTAATAATAATGTATTTAGTATATTTCTAATGTTATTTCTAATGTTTTTATATTCACATTTAATATTTTTATATAATAATAATAATAATAAATAGTAATATTCTTTTACCAAAATAATAAACAGCAATCTTCTTTTAATTTAGTCGGAAAGGAATATACAAATCTATTAATTAGTTAATAATTTTTTTGAAGTATAATGTTACTATAATGTTAATGTAATGTTAATGCATGTAGTTTCTCAGAAGTACTATATATAAGTTTTTATGTTTTAAGGTCCAATATCGCTCGTTGGAATGGTATTAGGATTTCTGCTTTCCGGATTAATGATTAGCAAATTTAAACCTGGCCCTAGACCATTGTTAGCGTGGAATGTATTGGTCGGCATTTGTTTCGTTGCTGGTCAAGTACTATTTATATTTCTTGGTTGTTCCGATATCGGCATCGAAGGCCTCAATTTAGAAACTATGCAGTGAGTACGTTTTCTTTCATACAAAACATTTTAATATACTTTTTAGTATTCTGATTGATAACAATTACACTATCAATTCATTCGTTTTGCTTATTTATTTCATTTTCATTATCGCACCATTGTCATGTTATTTAATTTAGAATGTTATTTATATATTATATTTAACATTAATTTAATTTATGAAATTGCTTTTTACACAATATTTATGTAATATAATATAAGTAGTTTGTGTGTATGTATAAAATAGAAGAAAATAGAAAAGTAATTTCTATAAATTACAAACATTAAAATTTTTTTCAAATAATTTTGTGACATAATAATTATTTGTAATATAATTTGAAGTAATTATATATACAGTACATTATTACACAGTATATTATTTATAATATTAACATGTGAATGTCTATTGACATGTACAAATAGCTAATAAAATAATTAATAATACTTCTTTAAGCTAGTAGTGTATTTTAATATTGTTCTTTCTAATATATAGAGCACTATTCATATAATTTAATGTGACTTTTATGCATTTCACAAGAGTTATGGGTGTCTTGGAGCTATATTAAAAACATTAAATGTAGATTCAAGAAACGTATTTCAGCTGTTTCACGTATGTTTAGTTGTTTCATATTCACTTTGTATAAATTGTTAAAAAAAGCACAATTAATTTTTCAAAATTTCATAACTATCTATTCATGATATCATGATACATATTCCACATGCCAAATTATATTGATTCCTTAAGTTTGAAATCTGATAACTTTTATTGGAGAATATACTACATACATAGAATAGATTTATATAAATTTTTCGATTCTCAATTCAAATGTAAGATTTAGAATAAGAATGAAAAACAGCGAGAAGTTAACACGAAAATAAATAACTTTATAGAATATTATATTATTTTTCTATGATATTGTATAGAATTTTAATAAGAATATACAATCTTTCTTATATTAGTTTTTATGTTATTAGTTTTATATATATATATATATATATATTTTTTTTTTCAATATATTTACTCTAATAATAAGTAATTATAGTATAAACGTATTTAATTTGTTATTTTACGTAGATGCTCGCGTATATAATATTTCCAAACATATCCTAATATTTAAATTTATAAATTAGTTACACATGCTAGAAGAACGTTATTTAACGCTTAAACGTTGTAACATAAAACACGAATAAAATCTAAACAATTGATTTCTGTTTCAGAATGAATTTAACATTCAGTTGCAACGCCGACTGCAACTGCAACGGCGTGAAATATTCTCCGGTTTGTCACGTAGCATCTAAAACAACTTTCTTCTCTGCTTGCCACGCTGGCTGTCGGACAATAATCAGCGACAAAGAATTTGGAAATTGCAGCTGCCTTCCGTTCCTAAATACGCCAAATTTCGAAAGTCATTTCGGATATACGACTGATGGTGTCTCGAGGGATCAATCGATCTATGTGAACGACTCGCGTATGATGAATTTCGACAAAGTCAGAGCTGGTCCATGCACGAACGACTGCAGCGGCCCTTATCTCCTTTTCATGATTCTCACATGTGTTATACAAACATTAGCGTGTTCCGGAAAAATCGGCAACGTCCTGGTAAATTATCGCAGCGTTGAGAAGAAGGATAAAAGCTTCGCGCAGGGTATTACGCTGATGACTATTTCCTTGTTTGCGTTAATACCGGGCCCAATTATTTACGGTGCCATTATTGACTCAACTTGCTTGATTTGGGAGGAGTCCTGCGGAATTAAAGGAAACTGCTGGTTCCACCATGGAAAGAACTTCCGGTATTTAGTTAATATAACGTCAGCAGGTAAATGTTACTCAATAACAGATGCACATTGTATTACAAAGTCTTTAAATTAAATGAACGATATAATTTTTCACAATATTTAGTCGATGTGCGAATTAAGGGAATCATTGTTAAAATTATTAATATTAAAATCATATTTAGGAATTATATGTTTTGAACAAATTTTAACAAATATTTATAAAATTAACAGATTCTGATATATTTTCACTCTTTTAATTTGTCAAATTATTGCTTCAATTGCTTCAATTGCTTATTTTAATAATTTTATTTTAATTTCAACACTTAGAGCGTCCCTTGATATGAATCTATAAATCTATGTTCCTCTCACAAATTTTAAAATTCGATTTTGTCTGCAGCTTTAAAAATTTTGTGGAATCATCTTCATTAATTACGATCCAGCTTTATGAACTAAAACTCATTGGTACTAGAGAGAATCCATAGATTCCTATTATACACGTAAATAAATAGGGAATTTAGACTATTTCTTTTTATAAAAATGATTCTAATTTAATACACAGTATTAAGTTTGATTAAAACTATACTAAAAATTCTGTCCTGTGCTGTACAGAGTAATTGCATCGTGAAGTTCACGAGTTTTATTGTCATATATTCGAATGTAGAAGATTTTAGCATATTTATAAAAGTATCATAAAACATTGTTACCTATTACAAAATAATGTAAATATAATAGCAGATTCGAATGGTGGCAAATAGATGATAAAGAAGTTTAAAATTTTTATCTTATCTCGCGTCTCGATTCGTTCCTTGAAAAATATACTTTTACGGTGTAAATTACAGTGACATAACGATTCGATTCTGATCCAATTGTAAACTCCGTATTAGCGACATCAGATATGCTTAAGATCACGCTTAAAAATGTTAAATAATATTGAATGGAAATAATTAGATTTCGTTAGAAACGTATTGCATAGGTCTTTGTCTATACGTTGAAAGTGTCGAGTTAACGTTTGTTTTATTTTCGCTTTCCAGCGATTTCGCTGTGAAAGTATTGCGTTATTGTATAAGAATGTATTTTTTTTAGGATTCTCCATGATAGGAGTGTTGTTCGATGTAGCGGTCTGTTATCTTGGGAAAAATTTGGATCTGTACGGCGCCCAAGAAAACGACAGACGTCGCGAATTTATTAAAGAAGATGACATGCCACAAACTGCCGACGGCGAGAAGAAGAAGAAGGAAATGAACGGGAATGTAAATTAAATGACGAGCAATTATCGTTTCTACCAATTACAATGTGAAAATGTTTTATATAAAATTTTTAAGTCTATTTGTTGTTATAGTGGCTACAAAAAGTATTCACATTCCATACTTTTTAATGAAAATTTTCTCTCAGCGGAGTCATTTTGACAATATCAAATTTTGGTAGTTATTTGATAGTACTATTAAATAATAAATACGGTGAATTAAAGAAATAAATTTGATATAATTGAACTCAATATTATCCTGATAACATAAAATGTTTGTAATTATCTAATAATATTACTAAACAATAAATATAGTAAATTAAAATTTGACATAATGTGATTTTATAATATAATATCAAATTTTTGTAGTCGTATGATAGTACTATTAAATAATAAATATAATAAACTAAAGAAATTTGATATAATTGGACTTGATAATACAAATTTTTATAATTATACGATACTATTAAGCAATACTACTAAGCAATAAATGTAATAAATTAGTAAATAAATATAGTAAATTTGATATAATTGAATCCAATATCATTTTAATATTAAGAATCAAATGTTTGTAGTCACGTAATGGTATTATTGAATAGTAAATGTTGTAAATGTAGTAAATTAAAGGAAAATGTGATATATAATTAAAACAAATAATTTACTTCGATGTAAATGCAATAATAAATATAATGTACTTCTTGTGGCCACTGTAAATTTAAAAAATTTCCATAATCAATATCGACAATGAGAATGATATTATACAGCGGAATTTTTAATAAATTTCATATGTCCTATTGCATAGTTAGTTAAAGAAATTGACCATAAATTAAAGTAAAACTCAAAGTGTTTAAATAACGTTAACATTTTTGTTTCTTTTTTTTTTTTTAAATTACATTCCAGACTGGTTATAATATTTGCACGATTGTACAGCGTTATATCTATTTGTAAATAAAATGTGAATTTTTGTTAAATTATCTGTATGATATTTCACTTGATCGTTATAAATGTTTTTGTGCAAGTAGATACCGAAAAGTGATTTTCAAGAAAAATCTGGCTTTTTCTGATAAACCTATGGCAAACAAAGTATAATCTTCGACGAGACAGAAAGACGTTTATTCGAAGTGATATGAAAACAACCAGGTATGTATGTTCTGGCGTGAAATGCATTCATTTTTCGTAATAATTACACAAAATCATTAAAAATTGGTAAAAACTAATAACAGCAAAAGTATATGCTGATAATATAGTAATAATAATATAGTATAATGTACAATCGAATAATTAATAAAATATATTTTATCAAACTTTGGCTAAAGTTACAATATATTTTTAATATATACAGTAATATTGTAAATCATTCGAATTAATTCATATTTAATATTGTATGGTAAAAGATTTAATTATGAAAAGATTAACATTTTAACATCATATAATATATAGATACATACGTAAAACTATGGAAAAAATATTTAGATTTGTTTCAATATATACAGTTTATAAGTTTATTATTATTGTTATATTATTGTTTATTATTATTATTATTGTTATTATTATAATATTTTTATTATTATTATTATTATATGTTTATTATTATTGTTATATTATTGTTATAAATTAATTGAGTTAATTAACATCAATAATGTAATATTATACATCATGACATCGTAAAAACATAAATAATTCAAATACAATGTAATTGTTTTCAGTTAACATGTATATATGTAAAAGTAAAAAATATATTTAAACTCTTTCTAAATATTTTATAATTTATATTCAATTTTTGAATAATGAAAGCTGAGTTAATTCTGATTTAATATGTGACGTTTATTATTTTTTGAATTATAGATACTCGTGTATTATTTTATGGAACAACAGAGGCTCACGAAAGTATTTTTATATAGAAATTATACAATATTCATTGAAATATGTAGTTTACAAACACAATTATTCAAATAGTATATTTTATTAAATATATATACTTTAGAAACAGAATTACTTAGTAAAATATCCATTATATTAATAATTCAAGATATTTAGTATTAATAATATGTTTAAGGTAATTATCTACATAAACGTATATAAAATGTGTACTAAACGACAAAATTTTATAAATCTCGAAAATTATTCGCAACTGAGTGCTACAAAAAGTCATAATTGATGTTTCGTCGAAAGTACCATTTATCATTTTATCTTCTTAACATTAGTCAAAGTGATTCACAAGTCAACATTCAATTCAAATGTACTTTAAGACTTGATCTGACGCAGTAAAAATTGAATATTAATACTAATTTCCAAATAGCTACTTGTAGAGAAAAGATGATTTTATTGATATAAAAAAATTAGACTGGGAAAATACCCAATGGTCAACAATGATCCACTAAAATTTTCATTGCAAACATTGTTTTAATTTTGTTTTGTCAATAGTCAAAATGTAAATGAACTCTGGTAAATTTTAATTTAGTTAATTATTTTTAAGAAAAATATAAACTACCTGAAAGCTAAGGTTCATTAAGAATTCAGTCACTTTATTTACAACAATCTAATATATATTTGCAATAAATATTATGCAATTTTATATATTATTAACTTATATATATATATTTTTTTTTTCAGAACGTTTTAAAATTTTGTATTCACGGAAGTGATGTTTTATTATTGGACAAGGATTTTTGTACAAATTTATATTTTTACAACTAAAACAGTAAAACGTAGATAGAAATTCATTTCTCCTAAAGTATTAATGGAGAAAAAAATATTATATAACATGCACAATATATTCAAAATTTCTATGATAAATATCCAAATATTTTCATAAGTCTTTGTACACGAACGATTTTATTTTAAATTAATTTAATTTTCATACAAGTGTAAAGAAACCTTAATCGATTTTCCGCTTTAATCAATCGCTACAAGATAAAATATTTAACACTATGACAATGATCTAACATCTCCATTTGAGCCATGACGAATTTCAAAATCTCTTTTTTTACAATTGTTGAAAAAATTACGGGCATTTTTGTCAAGATTAATATTAATTTTTAAACAGAATATAATTGTATGGATCTATTTATAGGCTGTTATATAATTAAATTACTATTGTTATCACATAATTATAGATCCATTTAATTCAATTACTATTATTTAAACTATAATGACTTGTATTAATACCAGGCATTAATAGCTCTAATAGCGTTAAATTTTAGAAATTGTCACATAAATGCAGTATCTTTAAAAACTACTTGATAAACAATTTCATCCAGCGGCAATAAATTTTGATCCGTCACAGAGAAGAAACACGGTAAAGAGACCTAACTTGATCAGATGTATTTGAAATTTTGTTACATGATAAGCAAAGATCGTACCCTTGCAAGGGTCCGTGATGGTTTCGTTAAATCCCCCGCAAATAGACCGTAATGCTCCGTGAGACGAAAAAAAGTTTCGACTGGCTGTACGAAACAAAAGGAAAAGAAGAAGAAGAAAAAAAAAAGAGAGAGAGAGAAACGAGAAGGTATACTTAAATCAGGCGATCGACGGTTTCAGCTGATTCGTTGTGCGCGTAGGAAGAAGAAAGGAAAGCAAGGGGGTAAAGGTCTGAAGGCTTGTTTCCAGGCTTCCATGTCGAATTCTGGGGATCGTAGCTGTCGCAGAGTCCGCTAGTCAAAGGATTACAAACCCGCGACGCTGAGAATCAAAAGGGAGTTTTTTGTTTGAGAGCCTTTTAATTTTTAAGCTCAGGCAGGCCAGAGAGCTAGAAGGACCAGCCGCGTAATGAATTCCGCGACGTCTTCGTGACGTCAGGACATCTCTATCGATCGCATCTTTAGGCACGCTCGTGGAGGATGCGCTTTGGCATTACCGAAGGATTAAGTGCCCTGCCTTAAATAAAGAAAAATCACGACTACTATCGTCGCTCGTTGCTCGTTCACTCGTTCTCCCACGAGGTTCTCCACTTGCTTTTCGACTCTGTCTTCCGATTCCGGATTTCTTGTCCGAGAGTTTCCCTTGCTTGATAAGTAATCATGAATTGTGGCAATTATCTCTTCACGCGTGACGATTAGAGATGAAGAGTGAGTGGAAAGGGATTCAAGTAAAAGAAAGCAATGTTGATTGTTTTATAATTGATGCTTCAATTTAATCTTCAGTATTATAATCTGTTCATTTTACTCAGAAAAATTCCTATCGATGTATTTTTTTCTTATATTATACAAATAAGCTTTTAATATTATAATTCTTTACATAAGTGAAATATAAAAAAATATGGTCGTAATAACCTTGAAATACCAACATATGAAGGTTGATGAATTATGATATATGTTTTATGTATTTATGGGGAATTGGGAGATGCACACAATGAACATAATGTAAAAGAATGTTTTTATAACAGTTTTTAAAAACACTTTAATGCTCTGCTAAAAATTCAGTATTGCACTTTGAAGGGATTGCTGCTTCCACTTTTCATTAATTTTAACGAACAAACAAAAATTAGATTGAAATCGATCGAAATCAAATCAGATGTGTTAGAAATACGGAATTAACTATACGCTAGTAATAAATTTCTGTATTCTTTGATGTGAAATTTACGTCTTTCCTTTCCTTTCAATAAATTGTAAGGATAATAATAATTTTAATGCTTAACTACCATTCTCTAATACATACGAAAATATTCTACATATAAATTATTACAATTTAAATGATAATAATTAAAATGAATAGATCACGTCTCTGTTTAAATCAATATTAATTTTGATATTCGTTTCGACAAATTTAATAATTTTAATAAGTTAACTATTTATGAATATATTAATTTACTTATTCACATACATGTTTATTTATACGAAAATAACCTTTTGATGTAAAAATGTATAATACATCATAATATGAACAGAATAAAAATTATTGGACATAAAAATTTGACTTAAACAAGACATCAAATTTTTATTAGTTCAGACACGATATTCTCAAAAGTGATGAGAAAGACAGAGAAAAAGTCCAAAAGTTAATTAAGTAAATTCGCTTGCTTAGGTGTATAAATAAAAGATTCTATAAACAGAACGGTTCGCTTAACAACGTTTCAAGTAATCAAAGAAAATTCGTTTCTCGATTGAAAAGTATTAATTCGTTTGAACATTTACCGCGCTTATGCGTATAATCGCTATATATATTGCGAATAATCGATTGAACGGACACAATAAGTACTCGAATTTGGATAAAACTTTTGCGTATCGCAATACAACTGATACGAATGTCACGATCGTAGATAAAATGACTAACATGAAATTGAAGAGATTTTCACCGATGCCAGTCTGAGAGCATGCGAATGCGTTACCGTGTAATGTACGGGTCAGCTTCGTGTTAGGAAGTTTTGTCGTTGTGTGTACATGGTGTATTGT